AATCGAGCCAATAAGAATGCTGGCAAATATAACCCGCCTTACATTTTTAGGCTCTACATGCTATTTTACCGAATTTATTACATTATCATTGCTACAGTTTGTTTTTTTTATGTTTTGAATAGGGGCAGTTAACTACTTTGCCGAAAAGTGGAGTACATTCCCCTCACCCCTCCTCCGGTTTCATGCCTATGCGTGGCAGTTGCTATCGGCAAGTTGACTTCCCTTCTGAAGTCCGTCAGTCCAAAATTAGGAACGGCTAAACGATAAAGTTCTAACACACAAACTCGTTTCTATTCATAACAGAGAATAAACCTAACGCTCCGTAATTGTGGTCTTTGTTTCCCCTAAATCAACACACTGATATTCAGGGATGACACACGACAAGAAAAATTTTATTTTTACAAAAATAAAAAGTCACGCAGTCGTATTACCATAAAATAGTACAATTATAATGGTAATTTAACATTGTAGGAAAATATGATATATATATATATTTATTTATTCAATATGAATAAACTGTCTTCACTTGTAACGGATAAAGTAGATTATGAAACATTCTTTATAATAAGCATCCTCTCTGTCATTTTATAAGTTATTTCGATATAACACTTACTTATTTTTCCAGGTTTAAGGCCGTTTATGTAAGAAGGTGATCTTGTATGTATGTAAATATAAAATGTTGTGTAACATGTTTAGCTCAGTTTTTACCAGCACTGTAATTCGTTTCATTTCATTTAGTTCACACGAGGAATATCTGCACTAGCCGTCCCTAATTTACCAGTGAAAGACTAGAGGGAAGACAGCTAGTCATCATCACCCACCGCCAACTCTTGGGCTAATCTTTTATCAACGAATAGTGGGATTTACCGTCACATTATAACGCCCCCATGGCCGAAAGGGTGAGCATGTTTGGTGGGACGGGGATTCGAACCCGTGAACCGCAGATTGCGAGTCGAGCGCCATAACCACCTGGCCATGCCGAGCCCATTTTATTTAGACTACTCGTTTCGATTTTCCTGTTAACAGCTAATTCTAACGTACACTGGTAAATTCTGTATTCATGAACACATGGTTGTCTGTGGCTCAGCGGTAAGTCTGGGGCTTACAACGCTACAAATCGAGTTTCGATACCGGTGATAGCCACATCACTGATACCACACTGTGTAGCTTTGTGCTTAACAAAAAACAAATAAACAAAAGTATATGAACACATCGGAGGTGAATAAGTATATTCTACTGAATAATGCCCCCTAGTGGCACAGCGATATGCCTGCAAACTTACAACGCTAGAAACTGGGTTTCGATACACGTGGTGGGTAGAGCACAGATGGTCAATTAGCTTTGTGCTTAATTACAAACAAACAAACTACTGAATAGTGATGATAATTTATTTTTAAAACTTTTTAATTTCATTTATTAGTAATCCAGTTACTAATAATTTAAATTATTAAACCTGCACTCTTGCCTGTTAACACGGGCCTGTTAATGTGTAAATTCAAATTTTAAATTCTTATTTCTGCATATTAAATACATACAAGTGTACAATTGTGGGGGCGGAGAGAAATGTGACACAGTAATAATCTATCTCAACGAGCCATTATTTCATAATTATTTCTACACATTGTCTTCCATGCTTAACTTATACGTGGGCCTAAAAGCTGAATTTTATATATAGTGTTATGCTCTCTAAATTAAAACTCATCATAAAGCGTATATGAATAATTTTCAGATCGTATGTTCGCTTCGACCTTCGAGTGTTTCAAAAATAAAAGCGTAACTGTGGTGGGATTGATGGTGGTCGCATCATAGCTAGCCATATTATAGGAAATAGAATTTAACTTGGCATGATTTCATTTACGACAAGCACTCCTACAAAATGCTCGTTACTTTTTAACCAATTCAAGTACGTACGATAATAATACGAGTACGATAGTACAGTGAGTAACATATCGTCCTACTTACAGCGTGAGATCTTTAAAAAAATGATTTTGTGCTGTTCTTAAACAAATAAAGAGGATCCATTTTGTGTTTGTTTTGGATATTCGCCCAAATTACACAAGGGCCATCTACGCTATCCGTTCTTAACTTTGAGCTACTGAAGGCTCCTAGTCAACAGCGCCTACCGCCAACTCTTGGGCTACTTGACCGTCATTCTTTCAAACAAACTCGCTGCCTTCTTCCATCCATGGTGGGAACTTGTGTTAATATATATTTCATTCCCAGAAGGGGACTGTAATATGACCAGAGGCGATCTGACACTTCACTTTCTCTTCACCCCACTGCGTGATTTAAGATTAAGTGGCACCTAAATTTAGATAATTTTGGATTATCGTGGAGGAGTTTTTTTTATATTGATCTAACTAGTGGGATTGCCTCAAGGTATCAGGAGGAGCTGTGAGGAGATCTGGAAATAAGACGAAGGAAGGAGAGTTCCCTAAAATCGTTGCCAAGTGTGGAGCGCGATTTAAGGCAACAGAACCAGAGTTTTCAAACTGGGTACCACGGTCCTCCCGGGGGCTTCCGGAACGTGACAGGGAGCTGCAGCAAAAGCACAAGATACACAATACTGTTAAGGTTCACAGTATCTATAGATTCATTGGGTTGGGGCCTCGGTCAGCATACGGAATATTCTGGGGGCGTTATGCTGAGAAAGGTTGCGAACACCTGCACTAAGTCATGCTCAGCTCAAACAGAATTAGAAGTTCTAAGCTAGATGTCAACTTACAAAACAGGTTTTTTTGTTGTAGTTTTTTTTGCTACATCTGACTGACATTATCGTATATGCTATAATCAACAAATCATTGATAAAAAATTACAATCTCTCGTAAAATTAGTATAGATATTGAATCTTTCGAACTTTTCTTGCAAAGATTAAATCTCTCAAACAGTTAGTATCAAGACTGAATATTCCGAACATCTGTCAAAGATTTTTATCTCCCAACCAGTGGCACAAAAATTAAAATTTTCACACTATCATTGCAAAAAATGAAATATCGTGAATTGCTAATACAAATCTTAAATCTATCAAAATATTAGCATTAAAATTTAATCTTCCGAAATATGAGTACGAAAATTAAATATCACGAGCCCTTCATACAAAAATTAAAACTTTTGAAACATTGGTACTGTAATTTTTCACGACTACCCATTTGAATCAACTTTTATCTGACGAACCATTGCGATCAAACTCTTTTTTTATAAGCTGATCTGAAAACGTTTTCGATCTTTCTGACTTTATAGTATATAGATATAGTCTGCAAGGTCGATCTTTTCACACACAAAAACACAACTAAAAATCTAGTGTTATTGTATAAACACTAGAATCATACAACTAGAATAATTAGAAAAGCTAATTTTTTAATATCACTTTTTTTTACTTGAAAAGCACGAAAATAAGCAAACAATAACACAAACTACACAATTTTTAATGATTGTTAAGTGTTTGAAAATACTTCTAATAATCATTGTTATCAAAAATTCCGGGTAAAAATATTTGTTTTTTGCTTTTCTTCAAGTTATATACACACACACACACATATATATATTTCTAACAAAAAGCTGTCTGTATTGAATTTCTCTATGAACAACTCTGAAAAAATATATCTAATTGCTTGAAATTGAAACCAATCGAAAGATTTTTGTGATTTCCCAAAGAATCCGGTTTATAATGGTGAATATGCTTGTTTGTTGTTAAGCGTAAATTTAAACAATGGGCTACCCGTTTTGTGACCACCACAAGTATCGAAACCCGTTTTTCAGCGGCGGGAGCCTTCAGACTTATCGCTGAGCCACTGGGGAGATCTAGTAAATATGAATGAAAATCGATATGGTAGACTATAAAAAAGAGTAGCAAAACTATATTAGAATCTTAGCAAGGATTAGAGACACCCTAGGCTTTGATTAGTGTATTAGTTTGGTCTTTAGGGGATCCTCTAAGTGCTAGGTGGAGTCAATAGGTGCCATGTTTCTTATAGACTTTTTTCCTTCCCCTTAAGATAATTTTGCCGGGATAACGTGGAACATTTTTTATATTATTTCTAACAATACCCATGAGGGTTTTGTTTAAGATTTCAATTACATATGGAAAATTATTTGAATATAACATTCCATTTTGCGGGTCATATGTCAAGTATTCAGAAGAAAACGTTTTATTAGAAAAAAATATAGTCATAATCTGAGCTGGAAGTTTTTGAAACAACAAAGCAATAGATTATGAATACTTCATTTAATGTGGTGTGCAAATCTTTTTTTTTTATTTTGATCGTATATTTTACAGTAACTAAAGCTTGTAAAACTAGTTTGTATAATCTATTTGATCTACATATGTATATACATTTATGACAGCAAAAGAAATGGGTGATAGGCAGTGCTGCCATCTGTTGTTTGATTCATTATCACATCTGTTATATTCAACGCAGAAAATGTGAAAGAATCAGACACATTAGAAGTTTTTAAAAATAATTTACGTTCAATACAAATACAAACCAAGAATGTATAAATAAGGTATACACATTATTTCAAATCTTGGCCGAGAGTTTTATGTCTAAAACATTATGCTGTCAAAGAGAATGACTTGTTGTTATAAGGTTGACTGCAGTTTGTAGTTTATTCATTATCTAATCAATTCCTTTTCATATTTTTTATTCTACAAAGTTTGGAATAAATTGAATAGTTATTTTTGTGGTGTCTAATTTGGCTCCGAAGTTTATTAAATATTTGGCTGTTTGATTACAATTAATTGGAAATATATTAAGTTAGGGAAAGTTTTGCTATTTGAAAAATTCTCACTAATAAGGTACAAATAGATAAAATACGTTTAATGTTATTTCTGCTCCCGTCAGATCTTTTGATCTTCTCAGGTCTCAATAATAATAAATCTTGTTCCTCCTTGATTAGGCCAAATTGAACAGTCGCCGAGCGACACTCTTGCCTCAACCTCCTTCCTTTAAACGGAACGACATAAATAGCTGTTGTCTACGATTAACCGAAGCAGTGAGAACTGAGTAACCGAGCTGCAAACTCCAGATCTCGGGGGAAGTCAGAGCATAGTAAGAAAGTTTGTAATAGAAGACACGCATAAAAGTTCGCTATCATTCAAGAGTGGAATAGAACACTTTTAGCGTTTCTACACGAGGCCGCTTTCCATTGTTGGCCTGACATGGGTTTCTTTATTACTTTCTCTCCTCTTGCTCTAGGAAAGGATAAGCAATATGAAGCCTATTATTTAAACGTAAGTTGAGTTGATGAGAGATTTGTAGTCATCGTTATAAACAAAATTATGTTGTACTTAAATTACATTCCTTACTGAGTTAAAGTTTTTGTTTGATTTCTTACATAACTGCTCTGTTGCGGTGAGAGAACGATGACTAGTGAAATGCCTTTTTGTTCTTCTATAAAATAGGTAATAATATATAGGTTACGGTTTGAACACCTTACTTCAACTTTGAGGAAATAACAGCGTGGTGTTGAACACGTTTCCAAGTAGTTACTTCGGTTATAAATGACATTTTAGAAAGTTTGGCTTGTATACCTCTGTGCTTGCTCATCAGTACGTGAAAACAAATGGATATATGACTCGTAAGTATGCATCACAAATGAAGTAAAAAACTTGGACAAAAATGACAAATTAACCAGGATTTGACCACTTATCTGGATAAAGAAATTTTGTATCAACACCACCAATGGCGAGAAATTCTTCGAATATACAGCATATATAAAGATACTAATTGAGGAACTTAAGCCCATTTTTCCAGGTGGAGTAATATCTTCGCTTATGGTGAGGATTTTGTAGGTGCCGCTAAAAAGTTCTAAGGCCGCTATCACGTGGCCGATATATTTATGACCAGTTCATTAAGTATGGTCACTAATAGAAAAAAAAATCAACGAAATTAGAAAACGCTGCTGTGCAGTTCCATATTATTACAACGTCTCACCAAATATGAATGCTGAAGTTAAACTTTCATGACGCATGTCTTTAACTTGAATATTGAACACAGTTTCTTATCGTTACGACTAATACACAAGATGTTAGTTGTAAGTGTGTGAAATCTGTTTCATTCGTAAGGTCGTGTAAAAGTTTTGGAAACACCGCCCTTGGGAGTCACGCTTTCAAATCTCAAGCATTCGAGTTGTTTACCATAACAGCTACGAACAAGACTTTTGCACAACCTTCCTGCACTCTCCTGGTTGAAACATGAGGAATTGGATATGGATTTTCTTAGTTTGTTTTTACTGGTTAGTTGGTTGGCACGTGCAATATGCGATCTCGGACAGTAGGCATACTGCGAGGAGTCTAATAAGACAGCCACGTTATTTCAGCCGTACTGTTAGTGACCACTCAGCCAGCAGATTAAGGGCGAGGAAGGTTAGTGGAACAACTTATTTTTTCTTAGTTATTGTTATAATGTATATAACCTTATATGTTCATTTAACAATGTGAAACTGAAATCTCAATTCTGTTATTATGAAGTAAAAAAAACATGTTTGTTCATCTATCTGTGTTTCATTCTGTTCACCTATAAGTCTATAACTGTCTGTGGTTGAGAACATCAACTAGACTGGTTTATATTCATCACTGCAGTTTCTAGACACTTCCAGTTACTTCCGTGGAGGTGTATTACTGTTATGGCGATGTAATGTTTTGAACCATCTTCAACATCGCACATTCGTAACATTAAATTATCTCTTCCATTTGATTGATCTAACTAAAAAAGATACTTTATAAGTTTTAATGAAGGTATTAGTAAAAAGTAATTTATCATTTTATGGAAAAGCTAAGTGAGAGAAGAATCTTAAAATATTCCGAGGAGCTGTGACTGTGTTTCTACAACTGCCAACAGTCTCCCGGTGGGTTAGCGGTGTTTCACCTGAATCCATGGAGAAAATAATTCCGATTTTGAAGAAAAGGATAAAATATGAAATTTAAGGCACGTTGTTTCAGAAAGAGAGAAATATTATTCGTTATTTTTTAAATGGATTTTAATTTTTTTAACACAGTTTTGTACTTTTGTAAATGTTCTATACATTTAAACTGATCTTGGTTCTTATTTCTTGAAGTTGCGATCTCGAGAAAGTTTCATAACCGTAAGACTATACGTAATTCTTGAAACATTAAACTGATTAAATTACACTGGGCATTCGGCTGTATTGTTTGAACTTTGTAGTTACTCATTTTCTATGTTTTGAACCCACTGACATAGTTGAAAGTTCTATGGAAAAAGTTAACTATGACATGTTTGACGTAATTCATGGTTGAAAGCTCTTTCTTCCGAAACTACTGTTTCTGCGCCATCTATTGGCAGTGAATGGAAATTGTTTCTTGTGAATTTACCTTTAGTTGGTGATTTTCGACACATTCATCTCAGTTTAGGAGTGGGTGTAAATATATGTATACATATTTATAGAATAAACTACACTTTCAAAAGTGATAAATGAAAATTGTCCGTACTACAATGACAATAATCCATAATCCAGTATTCGCTGAGAAGCTTACCGTGGACTGGTGTTTACTTAACACGGCAACAAATGACTATCGGAGGTAAAATATTTTACCACGTGCACATATGTCAACGTGGGCATTGCAAACATTGTCTTTTATTTTCCTGGGTAGCATACGAAGGTTAATCTCTCTCTCTCTTCTTTTTTTGTTTTTTTCTTTTAGCATGTATTCACTGACTGACAGGGGAATGTCGCTCTTACACATTGACTCGTTGGTTTAAGTAGTTAAACCAAATCTTTCTTCAATATTGGGTCAAAAAGCTTAGGGCCAATCAAATAACCTTCCCACTTGCCGGACCTTGAAGTTTTCCTTCTCTCATTGTCATATGAGGATAGTGTTTGCGCAACAGTTTGACACATTGCGTAAGTTGATGAAGTACATTCATGTCGAGTGCACATGACCTGCCAAAACCGATGACTCAGTTTATGTCCAGCAATTCTCGCCTGTTACGAACCGTTCATTATGGTGAAGGGGAGTTAAATTACATATCCGCTTGTTCTTTATTTCGTTTTAGTAACTTCCGTTCTTCTTGTTCTCGTTCATTTAACTTGTATATTTATTTATAAAATTTCAACCTTTTTATGTTTCAGCTTTTATCTATTTTATGCACATACATTTTCTTTTTTCCACCTCATTTCTGTTCTGTCTTGTCTAGTTTGGTCCAATCAGTTTTGTTGTTGTTGTTGAACCAGTCGCCCATTCGTGTCTCACACCCGGGGGAACGAGGGGGGGGGGTGGTGTGTGTGAAACTGTAGGGGGTTGAATTCAAATTCGACAAAATGGAAAATACTGTATTTCAGGGAGATTTTTTTGCACAGGGGGAATGTCCCCATGTACACCCCCTAAATTCAACAGTGCTTTCATTTATCTTTCTCTGCGCCGCTATATCTCGGCTATTTTCCCATCCACCTTTATATTATTTCTCTTTTCATAGTTCTAAGTTTTGATTTTTTCAGTAATTTGACTTCTTTCTTCATCTGCTCCCAGTGGCACAGCGGTATGTCTGAGGACTTACAACTCTAAAAACCGAGTTTCCATACCCGTGGTGGGCAGAGCACAGATAGCCAATTGTGCAGATGTGTGTTTAAGTACAAACAACAACTTTCTTCATCTTGTTTTTTTCATCATTATCATCCACCGATTTTCTACTCACCCCAGCTTTCTGTTTCCATTTCCAGCTTCCCTCGTTGTCTCTTTCTCGAACTCCCCTACGCTTCTTTTCGTTAATATTTGCATGTACTCTACCTCTTTAGTTACTTGTATGTAAATTCTTTTATTCTTCACACTTCTTTCCCTTTCTTCCGTCTGTACTCCTTATTTGTGTTTGTCGCTGTGTCTCAGTTTTCTGCCAGATGGCTTGTTGCCATCGGCATTTCCCATGTCACGTGATCTGTCGTTTATTATACCCTCGTAACAATTGCAAGAAATGTCACCTGAAGCGAATAGAAGAAAAATCATCGAGATATGTACGAATATCAGTCTAAACCTCAACAAACAAAAACCAATCGTTTCTACATGTCTGGCAAAGTTGAAAGTTACACAGCATCTCACAAAATAAGTAAATGGCTATTAAAACATCACTTTGTTAGTATACAAAACGAAAAAATTTCGTGTACATCTTGCAAATCGAAACAAACTCCTGAAAGTTGAAAGTTGTATGTATTATTGACGTGTAATCCACGGTCCAAATCAGTGGCGTAGCAAGAGTTCTCAGCACCCGGGGGCAAAGATGCTTTTGGCGCCCCTACCTCTGAAATGTTTT